CAATGTCTGACTGAAATAATTCATTCATAATGTAGAGGCACATTAACAGAAATCTTGCACAAAATATGCCTCTAACTGAAACCGAAAGATAGCAAAACATATTTCACTCTTGGTAAAGAACTTGGTGAGGAAATAAAACTCTGTGATTGTACAGACACTTTTCCTGATAATACGTTGACATTCGCAAACAGTAGATGGCATGCAGTCTATAAACATTTTAAGTTGCATAAACTTGATTTTCAAATATAGTACAATTCTCCCTACTGAGACTCCTTTTTATTTCAGCCAAGTACTCTCACATGTATTAGTTTATAATAATGTCTGTGATGATTATTTTTTGTTTGTGATTATTGTTTAAAGTCCTTTTTATTGAAGAAAACGAAGGCAATTCCTATGTCAGAGTAACCAAGGTGGTTGAAGAATAGGTATTAGCCAGAGTAGTCTGGATGGTCAAATCAGTCTTGTAGCCTCAAAGAAGCTCCATGAACACAGAGGGATGCCAGGCGTCACATGGCTTTCCTGCACTCTAGTCCATTATTGACTATAACCTGTAAGCCTGTTCCAGGGACATTTACACTTTTTAAAATTTTTATTAAAAATTTTATTTCTTTTTCTGGATATTTAAACTCTTAAAGGATTTCTTTTTGTTGTTGTTGGAGATGTTTTATAAAAACGGACATTTTATCAGCAACTTGCTATATGAACTGTAATAAATAGCAATTTTTAAAACTGTGAAATGACACAAACGGATAATCTCATCCGTGGTCTCTTTCTGTGTGCAAGGCACTATACCAAGTGTCCTAAAACATTAACTGTTCAGTCATCAATATTTAGTGCCTATCCACTCTATGATACAAAGTTCCATTCATATATATATATATTACACTTTAGCTTAAAGGATTTCTTATGATCTTTACTAAATACATTAAGAAGAAGGCCAACCAGTGCCCTTTTGTGTTCTGAGACTTAGAGCCATGTCATTAAAACAGGTAACATAAACTCTGACTTTACCATGTATTATAGATATAAATGCTCTAAGCTAGGAAAGGTTTTCCACATCCACAGTCAAAGATGGGAGCCTTTTATTCCTCAGAAATCATCACTTTTTGGGTCAACAAAAGAGTACAGCTGCCGCAGCTCATGATGCAGCATCTTTATGAGCCCAGGGCACAGAAAAACCATAAAAGAACTGCCACAGCACAGTGCTCGTTCTTGGCATGGGAACGAATGAAGTACTCCATTCTGCACATACCTGCCAGAGCAGGCCACTTTCCACTTCTGTGAGATGTTAAAAGCTCCCAAAAACGTTATTGCTCCCATTTGCAATGCACAGAAAATGGAAGAAAGGCTGTTTCCAGTTCTCGGCTTTTCAACAACTCTAGATGTCAGTACACCTAGTGGCACCTTACAAATAATAAACAGTGTGCACGTGAGGGCAAAGCACATATTGAGCTAATTAAGAGCTCACTGTAATTAGGATTCCATCAACTACCATAGCAGAACATAAGCAAATTGTATCTGAATTCGATAGTGAATATACATGCTGCAATAACGTTAAAAACCATGGCAGCCTATTCCAAACTAGCGAGAATGGTTTTCTGCCGGTAGTGGGTCTTTGTGTGTTTGAACTCCCACCACGTAAAGGCAAACTCGACTCGATAGGCATGCTAATGACCTACGATTATCAAATTAAAAACGAAAGACGCTAAAGGATGCCAGAGTGAACATCAGTGAAAGTCACACGAAGACCCACTCTCCTTTAACTTTTAACAAATAAACTATAAATTACAAACACAAATCATCATGAGTGGCTCTAACATTGAAATAAAGTAAACATGTAGAAGACTAATCCTATAACTTTGTTCCTTTGTAAATTTCTTGGCCAGCTGTTAGCTGATGGTGATGTTTACCTCCTCCTTCGCAGCAGTGGGGTAAAAGCATGGCATAGAGGGACTGCTGCCCAAGGGTCGGTGTTGCTGGCCGTCCTGCAGCTCACACAGCCGTGAGCAATCTGCTGTGCAGTGGGGTGTGGTGTACCCTCCCTCCTGCAGGCTCCAGGCTGTCACTGTCATCGTCCGGGCTCATCTCATAAAATTCTTTGGAGAGAGGGAGGCGGGGATCTGAGCGCAGTGCCAGCCTCCCCTGCTCCTGCCTGCCCACCCTGCCTGAGGGCTCTACTCACCATCCTTGTCAGCAGCACCAAGCTCCTGGGGGGCTGGGGCCCCTGGAGTGGAATCACTAGCAGGGTGCTGGACCTCGTGGCCAATCATAAGCTGCGTCACTGGGCCCTGCAGCTCCAGCGGCTTCACCTGGAGATAGGGGTGCTCAGCTACCACGAGGGTGCCAGCACCACGCTCACACCGACCCCCATCCCCCTCACCCCAGCAGAGATGTTGTACACCTTACCTTGATCCCCTCCTCAACCTCAGACATCATGCTAACATCGTTCTTCTGGTGCTGGGTCTTGACCACTGCTGTCTGATGGTCATTTGGTTTGATGGACTTTCCTGCGGGAGGACAGGCTCAGACACTGGGGCCCCTCCCAGCACCCTGCAGCTCCCCTGCCTTGCCCTGGCCTCCTGCTCACTTATCATGTCTCTCTCTCCAGAGAGCTGGATGAGTCCGAGTTCTAGTTTTTCCACCCGCTCCTTCAGGTCCGCATTTTCCTTCAAGATGGCCATGAACTCATTCTGGAGCCAAAATAATGGGGTCACATCTCGGCAGCGACCTGCCCCACCCCACTCTTCATGACCCCTGCCAGGACTCACTCACCTGCAGCTTGTCGATGGCGCCCCGCAGGGCCCGCTGGGTCTCCCCACACCCACGGTCGCTCCTAGTCCCTGTGGCTGCGACCGCTGCCTCTGGCTCCCTCAGGGCCGAGGCCACCGGATGAGCCTGGTGCTGGCTGCACCCCTGTTGTTTCTGGAGCTGCTCACAGAGCCGTGCCTGCTCCTCCTGGGCACCGGCTCCATCAGCGTTCAGAAATGGCACCTGAAGGCAAGAGGGGAGCATTCTTGTAGGGGCATACACAGGACAGACGGGGCAGGGAGGTGGAGCGCAGCCCCTTCCCTTGGGGCCTCGGAGAGTGCACCTGTCAGTCACGATGGTGTCTGAACACTGGCTCCCGGAAGGGGTAAGTGTCCAGAGGAATCAGAAGGCAGAGAAACCAAGAGCATAAGGGGGTCTGGGAGGGACCACAGAGGAAGGTGGCCTGCCCAGGCGCCTGGCCCCTGGCTCCAGCCTGAGAGACTGCCTCCCTTGCCTAGAACCTCATGCCTCCTTCCCCAGCCTCAAATCTCATGCCCTTCCTTCCACCATTTAAACTGTAGGCCACAGACTGGTGGAAAAGCACAGGGAGCTGACCACCATCTGCCAAGTGTGCTACATGCCTAATGCTTTCCACGCATCATCTCATTTAATCCTCAGCACCCACGCAAGGAGACTTTCGTTTTGTTTTGCTTTGATTTGATTTGCTCTGTTTTGAGACAGAGTGTCACTCTGTGGCCCAGGCTGGAGAGTGGTGGTGCAAACTCAGCTCACTGCAACCTCCAGCTCCCGGGCTCAAGCGATGCTCATGCCTCAGCCCCCTGAGTAGCTGGGATTAGTGGTGTGCACCACCACGCCCAGCTTTGTTGTGGTGGTTGTTGTAATTTTAGTAGAGATGAGGTTTCGCCATGTTGGCCAGGCTGATCTCAAACTCCTGATCTTAAGGGATTCTCCTGCCTCAGCCTCCCAAAGTGCTCGGATTACAGGGGTGAGCCACCGCACCCAGCATAAAGAGCCTCTCACACCACTGTCTCTCTTGCCCTATGACTGGGGGGCTCCATCCCTCGAGCTGGGATGATGACATCCAGACCTGGGAGGAGCCCAGGGCTACCCGCCTCTAAAAGTCAGAGGACAGGAAGCAAGAAACGGTCACAGGACTGCCCTGGAGGGTGTGTGATCACCTGCCCCCAGGGTGGAGCTGCCTGTGGCCTTGCACCTCCCCTCCCCAGAGGCCGGTGCCTGCCTCCCAGCCCTCCTGGATGGGGCAGGGGTTACCGTCTCCTGTTCGCCAAGCTTCTCCTGCAGCTCCTTTCCTTCCTGCTCCAAATACAGTGCGCTCCTGTTCTCGTTCTTCTGGACAGAGAGAAGCAATCAGCGGCCACCCACTGCAGCTGGAGACCCCAGAACTTGGTGACTGCCTCCCATGGCACCAGGAAGGGTGGAGGCAGGTTAGACAAATTGTCTCCTTTCTCCCACAGCCATCAGAGCAATGCTGTGCTCACAGGTGCCTTTAGAAGCCCCATTTCATATACTCCCCCATTTTACAGGTGGGAAAACAAAGGCCTGGAGGGATGGGAAGGAGGGCAGTCTCCCCAGGTGGGCAACACATCAGCTCCTCCTCCTGCTCCTGGAGCCCCTCCTGCTCAAGAAGCCTCTCCTAGTGTTCTCTCAGCCTCACCTCCTGCTCCCGGAGCCGCATTTTCGCCTCCTGTAGTCTCTGCTGTTCCCGCAGCTCGTCTCTCAGGTATTTGATTTCAGTTTTTAGGTTTTTCTCCAAGTCAGAGTGCCCTGCTGGGGTCTTTTGGATTGGGAGTTGAACTGAGAAAGGAAGCAGACAATGAAGGCCTCTGGATTCTCAAAACAAAAAACAAAAAAATCTCTTCTGGGTGCACAGCTCCTCTCAGGCTCCCCAAACCTGGCCTCACTGCTAATGATTCCTCGCACCCAAATGGTAGCCAGTCTTCCAAGCCACTTTCACATAGAGAGCACTGTGGGTGGCTGACAACAGGCACCCCTCCCTCTTTCTGATGGGGACACTGAGGCTCATGGAGATTACGAGACTTGCCGTCTCCTAGCACAGACCTCTTTCCCTCTGCCTCAAAGCCCTTCCAGCCACCCACCTCCCTGGGGCACTCTAAGACACCCCCACAGCCATCTGATGCCAGTCCTGCTCCCTGGTCAGGCCAGCCCCTTCTTACCCAGATGGTTTTTTAGGTGGGCAAGGCTCCCCTTCAGCTCCTCGATTTTAATTGCGTCCTGTCTTTTCTCCATTTTGAATATTTCAATCTGCCCAAAGCACAGGGGGAAAGGGCCCTGGAGAGAGGGGCTGGTGGCTGGACAGGCTACCATCTCCCTCTCCGCCCCCAGCTCCACAAAGCCCAGTCCCGTGACCACCCCTGGCTGGACTATTCTCTTTTTACAGATGCCCAGGAAGATCCAGTGAGCCATCTAAGGTGGGGGCTGAAGGGTCAGCTCTCACTTCTCCTGCCATTTTCAGCAATTGCTGCTGCCACCGCGCCCTCTCTGTTTTGAGCTGTTGAGCGTATGTGTCTCTTTCTAGCTGAGCTTTCTTAAGAGACTCCGTCACCTGTAAGAATGGACCCTGAAGTTAGGAAGGGCTGTCACTGGTCCTCACCTGCTCCTGGCCACCTGGGCTCATCTTCCTTCCACATCCCTCCCTCTGCAAAGTCTCACCTCTGCCACCTGTGCTTTTAGCAGTTCCCGCTCCTGTAGAAACTGCTGTAACTGCTGCTCAAGGACTGCTCCACAGCGGCTCGAGGGCTGGAGGGTGGAGAGGGAGAAGCTTCAATCTGGAGAGCCTGGGCCGTTCCACACAGTGCCCCTTAAATGGGCTAGGGCTGGGCTTCATACACAACTTGATCAGTAAAGATCAAGGCCCATGGTCTGGATTTTAAAAGAACTCAGTACATTTGGAAGGGACAGGCAAAGAGATGAAATTTACAACTGGCTAACAGAGGCCCAGAGAGATCAGATCATAGTCTATTGTTATTCCTGTTGTTACTACGCTGTTGGAACCTTTATTGAGTGCGTCACCAGGTAGTGTGGTAACAATCCCATTTAACCTCACAGCCACCACGTGAAGCAGTTGCTACCATTACCTCTATTGGGTAGATGGAAAACATGGAGTATTAGAGGTTTAGTGGTTGCCTAAGATCACTTAGACAGAGCTGGGATTTGAACACCTAGGTCCATCTGATCCTCTAAGTACATTTTTTTTTCCTGCTGAGGGTGGGGGCACAGACAGGAAGGGAGAAATTAATCTTCTGCTCACTTTTTGAAAGGATGATACATTCGCATAGTCCAAAACTTAGAAGGTACAGAAGGGAAGTATCTCCCAGCCACCTGTGCTCTCTCCTGAGTGTTTTACAAATCCTTGCAGACATGTTTTATGTATACTATCATAGTACACACACACACACACACACACACACACACACACACTTCCTCTCTACACAAATGGTAACATACTAAAGCTACTCTTCTGTACTGTCACAGTACAAGTACCCAGACTCCCACCTAGGACTTGGCCAAGGCCACAGCCAGTTAAGGGCAGGGCGGGCATTTGGCCTCTGAGCTTTGCATCCAGTGCTGGCTCTCCATAGCGCCCTTCAACCCACGCACAGAAGCCCCAAGGGAAAACTGGAGCCCAGGATTGGCAGCGTGAAATCAGGGGACTCCACTGGACTCTTACCAATAAGTCCATGGTGTTATTCAGTTCACTGGTTGTGACGGAGCTCAAGTCCAGGGCTATTTGTAGTTGCTGTGCGCTCTGAGGCACATGCAGAGAGGACGAATTGGGGGAGGATCGGGGGAGAGGTAGAGAGAACAATCATTAGAGTTGGGGTGTGTGGGGGCTGTCTCGGCTGGCAGAGGGGCACCCAGCTGCCACTGTGGGAGGAGGGTGGAGGGCTGGCCTGCAGGGTCACTGTACCTCAGCTCAGGGCCTCTTACCTCTGGATCTTTCATGGTGGCACATGGTGCAGGGCCCTCCTTGGGACCACCTGCTGCTGACTACAAGAGATGAGAGTGCACATGGAGATGTTCTGTCCCCTCAGTGTCCAAGCCTCTGACTTCCTTTCCTCCCCATCAGCTGGCAGCACTTCCTGTTCTGCCTCTCGGACCCTTTGTCCCAGAACTCATCTGTGCCAGCTCCTCTCACGGTGCTTATCTCCCACCATCCCACCCTGGGGCCCTTTCAGTGACTCTTAAAGGGACAGCCTGACAGCAAAAGGCTGTTCTCATGGGCTGGCTCCCCCTTGAGACTGGGGATGAGGAAAACCAAACAGCAAGGACCCTTTCCTGGGTGTCCTGGGAGTTTACAGCAGGCCATGTACTAGGGATTAACAAAAAAACAACAGCGATAACGAATCTCATTTCACCCTCACAAATGGAAGTCACACAATACAACCTGTATTTTACAGATGTGAAAGGAGAGGCCCAAAAACTCCAGCAACTTGTCCTAAGTCACATGCCTAGCAGACGGAGAGGCAGGATTCAAACCCAGAATTCCTAACCAGTACCCAGTTGTTCTTCCACAATCTTAACAATTCCCCTCTGCTGCCCCTGGGACCCTTTTCCCCAGAAGCCTGGCCAGCCAAGACTCACATGGCATGGTGACTGGCAACCATCAGAAGTGCCTGTCTCAGGGCTATTGTTGTTTCTTTTCTTTCTCCGTCTCGCTCGTGTTGGAACAGCAGGGCTGTTTCTTTGTTGAAATTCTGTTAACTGTGGGAAAAAAGAGCAGTAATACCCATGAGAACTACAAACCCCTACAGTCACAACCTACATTACAGTTTTTACAAAATACGGTTACACACCATCTAATTTAATGCCACCAACAACTCTATAACGTGTGGTCACAATCACTTAGTGAGTGAGAGGGATTGATATCATGGCAAAATTTTTAAAAATTTAAAATAAAAAGAAAAGAGAAAGAAAAAGAAATACTAGACCTTAAACTCACTCCTCTGACTCCAAGCTCTGGGATTTTGCCATGAATCAGCAACTGCCAGAGATCAGAACCACAGGCAGAGGTAGAAAAACTCAACATGAAATAGACAGGAACTGTACGCCGTGTGGTTTAGAGTCATACAGCCTCACACGTCTGTTAGTGTTAAGAAGAGCACCAGCACGTCTCACACTTTTCTATCAATGTGCCCTCATGGCAGAAGGCAGCCTTTCGTTAAATCTAGGAATTCATCAGAAAGAGGACAACCCAAGTCTCATTTCAGAGACAAGTCTGGTATACTCTTAGAAACCGATGTGACTGTCATCCCTAAGTACATTAATGTTTTTGCTGTCTCAAGAGACTCAAGGGAAACTGATGCTTTTGAAAGATGTCCCATGTTTATCACATGGCATTCAAAGTAGCCTAATTTGAGATGATATGAGGAAGATTCAAGCTGTCAGTTTCAATTTCCCAAGATCTGTTCCACAGAAGATGAGCAGATCTCACTCCGGAGGCCACTGACTGAAGGGCAGTCTGGTCCCAGAACCATGGAGAATTTGAAGATGAGGTGGAGAACTCAGAAAGAAACGTGAAAGTCTCTCTGGAGAGCAGAAGCCTGAGAGAAAACCAAACCAAACCCATTCTCCCATTGCCACCCAGAGACACTGTCAACGTTTTGAACTCACGGGGGAAGTGTAGGCTTTCCACACTGTCAATGTCTACGTTAAGGGAGTGAGGCAGCCTGAAACCTCTTGCTCCTAGGTCCCCCATTCCCCTTCCAGCTGGAAATTTGTGACAGATTAGCCAGAAATGGGATGAGAATGCTTAGGGGACTGGGTCGTAAGATCGAAGGCTGGTCTTGTAGCAGTAATGACGGTTCCTAGGGAGACCGTGACATCACTACATTCCACTCCCCCTGGGGGAGGGGACCACATCGAGGAGATGCCTGAGTCACTGCTCCATGATGGGGGAGGGGGATGCAGGGCTGGGACCCAGGTCCTTGGAGATGCCAGCCCAAAGAGGACAGGGAGGTCGCAATGGAGGTGCAGGACGGGAGGGCAGAGTCTGCAACAGGGATTCCCAGGAGTCACAAGCCCAAAGTCACCCAGAAATGACTGATGAGGGTGGGAACTGGGAGACCCAGGTCCTTAGAAACATGAGCCCACAGAGCCCAGGGAGGTCAAGTTTGGGGCAGGAAAAGGTGAGGCCCAAGTAGGGAGTGGGGAGCCTCAGGGGTTACACATCCAAAGTCACCCTGGGGTTATTGGCAAGGGCAGCGGCTGGGCCCCTTACTGAAGGGGTGGGGCTGACTGACAAGACATTGGTAGGGGGAGCCCAGAGCCACCGGGGTTGGGGACCCACCCAGTCTGGTGTGTCTCACAAGTGTTATGGACTCTGGCAGCGGTCTTGCTGTCGGAGGGAATCTGTGTGTATGTTACCTTTTTCCTAGCGGAGGCTAATTTCATCTTGCGAATTTCTTCTGACATCGCCATGGTGGGTGGGGGAGGGAGGAGCGGTTGGGGAGGGAGGTGGGGTTGGGGCCACATCAGCACAATTCAAGGGAGCACTGGTAAGCAGCTCCACTCTCCTACCAGGCAGTTGTGTTGACTGAGCCAGAGGACGTGGTAACCAGGGCCACACTAGAATGTAGAATAGGGGCGTGGCCTTCGTGCTCCAATCCCATTGGTCAATGAAAAAGATGAAAGGGATGGAGGCGTGGCCAGGCAGCAGCAGCTTCGGAGGGACCTATGGCACCCCAAGGAAAGCTGCCCCTGCAACTCCTGTCCCCGCCCACTCTGAGAGGGGAGGGGCCACCCACTCCGGGAGAGAGGGGGCGCCGGCTTTTGATTTTCAACCTTTAAATGTACCAAAGCATGCCGCCCTATGTTTGAAGAGGTGACCTTATGGGGAGATGACAGTGTGGGAAACAATCCTGCCTAGGCCGAGGCCTCATGGAGCCCAGGGTTCCCTAGGGCCAGGAGGGCACTGGAGCTCACCCTGACACCCATTGGAAACCTGAAATCCACGCCTGCAGGAGATCAGGAAAGGGGTTCAGCCTCCAATGAACCTGCAGCCAGGTGAGACAGGCACAGGTGGGAGCCAAGCAGATCTCCTGCCTGACCTTCCTCTCCTGCCTCCCCCAAGCAGAGGAGAAGTGACAGCTGTCCATCAGCCCATTGCCTAGATTGAAGCCACTGAATCTGGATCCCAACAGGCCCAAGGCAGTCCTGTCTCTGGTGAGGACCTGGCAGACAGATATGATGTTCCCAAGTGGCTCTATAAACCTTATTGTGGATAATCAAGGAAATGGGCAAGACCATCATGCTCAGCCAAGAACCTGGCAGGTGCGAAGGAAACCGGGGTAGACAGAAGTCAGTTTGGTTCCAGGCCTGGCCCTGGAAGGGTGGTGGACTGGGGCAGCCACAATGAAGGGGAACGGATGGCCATGGGCTGTGTGGCCAAGGCTGTCAGCTCCTGCAGCACCTGCGGAATATCCTCCCAGGCCTGTCTCTGCACTCACGCTTGTGCCTGGAGTCACAGGTGCCTGGACAGTGGCCTAAAGGAGGGATGGTGGAAGGAAAGGCACTTGTGGCCTCATGTGGGCACCTAAGCATGGGACAGAGGGGCATCCTGCCCCAAAGAGATCATACAGGCCAAGAACTCAAGCAGATGTACTCCCTGGTCCTGGGTCACATCAATTAAGTCAGAGCCTGTCCTGACCCTGAAGTTCAGCTCAGCCTAGTTGAGACTCATAAAGAGATGTCAGTGCAGGGCAGGGGGCCCGGCCCAGCCTGCGACATCCAGCAAAGCTGTGTGCTGGACAAGAATCTCTGAAGATGAGAGTAGGTCAAGGACAGCTGTGCCTGGGCAAGGAGTGGGGGAAATGCCCAGGGGGCAGGAGCCCTGAGGACCTCTAACTAGGTGGGATGCCAGGTCAGCAAGTACAGAAGAGAAGGTGACATTGCACAGCTGTCTCTAGCCTAAACCATGCTGCTGCTCAGTCACCATCCTTCAAATGCCAGAGGCAGGGCTGGGAGGGCCCCCAGACCCCTCTTCCCTCCCACACTAACCTGGTTCTCATCCCTCACCACAAGGAAAGTGAAGCCTTCTATGGGTCACAGACTGCCAGGTTCTCTGTCACCTGGTGGAAGGGCCGGGGAAGCTGCAGCTGGGTGAGGAAGAACCCAGGTACCAGAGCTAGAAGGGCTTTGGGAAAGCCTTGAACAGGGCCAGGACCTGAGCTCTGCCTGGCTATGGTGACTCTGAGCCAGCAACCCTACGATAGTCTCAGTCTGTCACTCTCTCACGGGGGATGTTGGCATTATTTCCTTTCGAGTCAAAGTAGGTAAGCCAGGGAAACCAGAGTTCGCAGTGTGAAGCCCAGACAGCCGAGGCCCTTGCCCTTCAGGTTACAGGCATCTGGGTCCTTGTCTAGATCCTCATATGCCATCCAGAGACCCAACCCTAGGGACAATTCCTCCCAGCTGGTAGCAGTGAGTCAATCCTCGTACTCACCCCACTAAAAGCTCTGAAATGAGAAGGCCTGTGGGTGAGGGTGAGACTCTTCAGGAAAAGGTTCTCAGTGGTAAGGAAGGTTTGAGCTGTGCCTTAGGGTAGCCAAAGGGGTAGGTGACAGGCCTCCAGGCTTGGTGTCCACTGGACCTGACCACTTGGGGAAGGGCTGTTCTTGACTCTGCCATTAACATACAGACTACAACAGAGTTGTTCCCCTGCTCTGCCTCAGTTTACCTCTCTCAGCTGAGCAGAGAAGGGATAATTGCTTCTCATGTGGGCCACAGGACAAAACAAAGCCCTGAGTCCCACAGGAAGGTAGGTGGGCCGTGTCCAAGGGAAGGCAGGCCTGGGGAGTATTTTATGTCTTCAGGGTGGCAGAGGGACATGGAGATGTCTCCTTTGTGGGCAAAGGAGAAGGGAAGATAAGCAGAGAGGCGTTGGACACCTGCCTCACCCCGACCTCCCCCACCCCACACCAGGCCCATTCCCACACAGCCCCCAGTGAGGAGGCATTGTTCTCCTTAGGGTCGGTGGGACTTCCCGGCTGAGCTGGGGAAGCTGACAGTCCGGATTCATCAGGGGCAGCACATAGTGTAGGTGATGAGCTGAACGGAAGTGGAGAGGGGACACGGGAGCCGTGGTGTCAGGCCTGGGGCTGCCAGTGTGGTACCTGCCCTGGCCGTGGGCAGACCACGCTGCTCCACCCTGCTGCATGTGGCCTCTAATTCTAAGGCATCTGAGTTCCAGGCCAGGACTGGAGCCATACTCCCTTTGGGGACAAGGGACACAGTCCACACAGACTTCACCTGTGTTTTGGGGAAAGGCAGCTGCACAAATGAACAGGAGGGGCCCTGCTGGAAAGTAGGAACGGGCCTGGACTACTCAGAACTTTCTCTGTGACAGGAGGGTCCCAGCCTCCAGTCAGACTCCTGAGAAGAAAGCTCACTCAGCCAGGGAGTGGGGGGCGTGGCCTGCAGGATCCCTGGAGTCTGTAGCCCCTCCCACCCAAGTGAGCTCCAGAAAAAAGATGCAGAAACAGCAGGTGCTCCTCCCAGCTGCCCACTGCTTCTTGGTGTGGCCTCAGGGACCCCGGATGAGTCAACATGAGGCTGTCAGCAGATGGGAGCGGGGGAAAGCTGGGTCCCCAGGGTGGATGCCCAGCAGGGACATGCAGGCATGGGGAGTGCTGAGTCCTCAGGGCTGACCCCTTTCTGCCCAGGGGGCCTTGGTGACATGCCTGCTTCTGAGCTTAGCCCGGGGGGTCAGGGCCTGGTGGCAAGTAGCCTCTCTGCTTCTGAAGACAGTCCTGGGGTCATTACCCCTCTGCCCAGGCTCAG